TCCTCAAAAGGCGAGTGGACAAGCAGAAGCCCACAAATTGTGATCAACTCCGAGAACTAATAAGGCAAGAATGGATCGCCATCAGTCAGGATTTGGCCCAGAAACTAATATCCAGCATGTCGGAGCGAATTGCAGAGGATATGAAGAACATGGGTCAACACTGTAAATATTGACTCATTATATATATATATATATTTGCCAATAAACACCTTTAAAACTTATGATATTCATTGTTTTTCAGTATACCATAGAAACATGTGGGGAAATTATCTACAAATACTGAAGCAGCAAACTTTGCAAAACACAAAATTTATGTCACTGCCAAAACTTTTGGCCATGACTGTAGTACCCGAGTAAGGGTTGCTGGCGAGGCTCCCATCTCTGCCAGACAGCGTAGCAGTCGGCCCTGGGAATGTGATTCCATAGTAATCCTACAGGGATCAGAAAAAGCAAAGACTACAGAATGAACATTTGGCCAGTCTAGGGCTGTCAATTAACTGTCATACAAATGATTGTGCTTAACGATTCAGTTTTCTTTTTGTTCATGTTATTTACAGTAAATTTATTATGCATACACAGCCATTTATTGACACTGAACTTGAAAAATTAGGTCTATATGATTTTCTTTAAGGTCATGTGCACAAATACTGCACAGGATAGATTTCATTTTAATGAATATTTTAAATATTTCTCTTTTTTGCCCACTTTAAATGTCACAAGTCCACTTTCCATTAATGCTTGAATATTGTAGTAATATAATTAGTTAGATTCTTATAATAATTACAGATTTTCTGTCTGTATATTAGAATAGTAATGTGTTATTATTAATATTAATGTTATTATAATTACATTATATTAATTATACGCAAACATAAATGTTATTAATTTTGCAACCACAAGTTATTCTAAAGTCCTGATTTCTTCACTTTAAACTGGATTTTAATTATTTTAAAATAATTTCACATGAAGGAAGAGCTTTGATTTCTGAATTTTTATTTATTTATTGCTTATATTTGCTATTTTTATTTGGGTGGCAATTTTAAATTGACTAGAATATACAGTGCACAATGACCACATTATCTCAAATACTCATGACTTCATCAAATAATCATAATCAGTCGATTATGTAATGACAGTAAGTTTTGAGCTGATAATGGCACATGCTTGGCCCATTAACAGATGTTAGCTCTCCCATTCTTTCAAAATGTTTCCTACCAGCAGCCTTGTAAATGTGTGAATATCAGCAGTTATGTTTATAACTCATATCATAGAGCTATATCTGCCATTCTGCTCTCAAGATGTCCAATGTCAGTCAACTAATAGTCAAGAAAATAAAGCAAGTTTGAAAAGAAAACATGAAGCTCAGTAGCAGCTCTAGAGGGAATTTGATGGGCTCAGACTCACCATTGGTAGTCTGGATTGGAGCATGTGGAGGTCTTCATAGCCATAAATCTGCTGTAAGACACAAACGAGAACTTTCAGCACTTTACACACTATACATTTTACTGAAATCAATATTAAGTATTTCAATATTCACAGACTTACTTAATGCTTGTACTGGGCCACATAATGAAATATGTATCAAATACACATCACACACACAATAACACACCACTACACAAGAGGACTGAAAACTGATGTGTTTTGATTTAAGAGGAGGAAGGTTCTTACCGGATAGGCAGGCAGCAGACCTCCAGGTCCCATGATGTACTGGTTAGGCAGCAGTGGAGGAACCCCCTGAGAGAGATTAGGGGGAGTTTTACCTGCACACAGACAGGGAAGAGTTTTTGGAGAATGAAGAATAGCAGATTTTCCCCTCAACTCAAATGGATACAGGAGCTGATGATTAGACTTGAAGCAAATATGAAAATTATAAACACCTTTTTTTTTGTTTATATACAGTACATGCTTGCAACATGAAGTCACTGTGACAGAATCATGAATCATTACAGAATTATGCACATTTGTTTGCAAAGGTCTATATGTTTGATGAATAATATTGCAGTACCATTGCCACAATATTTTTCAAACTGTGGTACTGATACTACTGTTTTACACGTAAAATAAAATACACTAAATGTAAATGTACATTTGCTAGTCACTATTACATCAAAGCTTTACTTCAAATCATATGTATGCAATAAACTTTAAAGTGTTTTTTTAATATATATATTTTCTGAAGAAAACTTGAGTCCAAAACATTTTACCACAATGCTAGGGGTATCGTGGGTGGTTGCTAGGCCACTATTATGAGGTTACTAATGGTTACTTAAGCATTACACAAGTCTAAAGTACGATTCAAAAGTATGTTAAAGAAAATACTTTTATTCAGCAAGGATGCATTAAATTGATCAAAAGTGACAGTAATGTTACAAAAAAAAGTTTCTTTGTTCTTTTGAATTGTCTGTTTACTAAAAATGATCAGTTTACACAAAAAAAGCAGCAATTTCCAACATTAATATTAAACGTTTCATTAGCACTCAGCTTTGCCATCACAGAAATAAATTACATTTTAAAATACATAAAAAAAAGAAAAGTTTTTTTATTATTATAACATTACACAATGTTACTGGTTTACAGTATTTTTGATAAAAAATGCAGCCTTGCTGAGCATAAGACTTCTAACTTTTTAATGGTAGTGTATATATAAAAATCATAAAGCATTATTTAAATGTGATTTTCGCAAGCTTTGAAAAACAAATGAATTAGGAATTAAAACCATAGCAGAACACCACACTCTAACCATACTATAAGGAAACACATCTAAATGATATGAATGGTTTCAGGATACTTCATGGTATCATGATATTTGTTTATGATTAAGATGATCTGACGACACTGATGTGTGGTCTCTCTCACCGCTGGAGGAAGACAGTAGCGGGACAGTCCTGACACCGGAAGGTGTGCTACCGTTGATGCTGTGACCCAAAACTCCAGACCCGTGCAGACTGTTGCTGCCACTCACTGAGCTGCTAACACTGCTGCTGGGCAGAGCGGACACAGGCAGCGAGGAAAACGGCATCGATGAGGGGGCGAGAGAGTTCACGCTGTCCACACTGGTATACTGAGGACAAATACAAACGGAAGTGGTGAAGAGAGAGTGTGCATGTGTTTGTGTCTGTGTGTGTGCATCCTACAGAACTCACTGTAAGTGAAGATGTGGTGCAAAGTGCCGATACAGAGGAATGGCCACTACAGGAAAAACAGGCAGAGTCACAGATATAAGTAGCCCACATAACATTTTTGAGGAAAGAACTGTGCAAAGAAAAGGTACAAATAAGCATCTCGCTCACCTGCTGAGGGGAGGTAAGCTGGCCGAGGACAGCTCAGATGCCAGGATGGGCAAAGCAGAGCTGTGTGGTGTAACAGAAGGGGGCAACAGTGAGGATGGGGCAGACAGGGCAACACTTGCGCTGCTGCCCAGAGAGGGAGACTCTTGTTTTGGAGTGGAGGAGCTCGATGTGGCTGAAGAAGGCATAAATGTCATATATTACAAAAATAAAGAGAAAAAAAATTAATCTTTAATGTATGCATCACAGAAAGAAGGGTAAAACTGAGGAGTTTGACTTACTGTCTAAAGCAGCAGAGGTCCTCGCACCATTGAAACCGTTCTGTCAGAAATGGAAACAAAGTGTATTGAATCAATATAGGCAGCATAAACTCCTTGATGTACATTGGTACTGTGCACTAAAGAAATAATCCATGGAACAACTTGGATGCAACATGGAGCACCTACACAACTGCTCAAAATTTGTTTTAGAAAAAAGACTTATGCTCACAATACAGTAAATACAGTAATATTGTGAGATTTAGAACTGATTTCTGTTTTAATACATTTTAAATTTTTATTTATTCCTGGGATGGCAAATCTGAATTTTCAGAAGTCATTACTCCAGTCTTCCGTGTCACATGATCCTTCAAAAATCATTCTAATATGCTGATTTGGTTCTCAAAAATTGTATTTCTTATTAACAAGGTTAAAAACAGTTGTGCTGATTAATTTTTTGCTTAATATTTTTGTAGAAAATGTGAAAAGAACAGGATTTATTTGAAATAGAAATCTTCTGTAATATTATAAATGTCTTTACTGTCACAAATTAATGCATCCTTGCTGAATGAAAGTATTCATTTATTTAAAAAAAAAAAATCTTTTAGAACCCCAAACCTTTCCCCAACAGTGTAAATTATGAAAATTTTAATTCTTGGTTGATGTAACCCTTTAACTGAGAATTCAACTTTACATTTTCACAGCTCTGTAGCTGTAAAACATCTAAAACTATAGTTCCTCTGTCGGAACTCACTGTCACAGGTCCAGAAGGCTCCTTGCTCTGAGAGAAGGTCAGTCTTGAGTGAGGAGCCACACCGCAGTCAAAGCTGTTACCCGCTGATGATGCAGCAGAGGAGGAAGAGGAGGATGAAGAGGACGAGGGGGCCACGGCCGAGCTGGGGGTGGTGTGGGAGGGGGCGAGGCTGGGGAGAGGTACTGAAGGAGAGGGGTAGATGCTGTCAGAAGAGGCCAGAGGCAGCAGCAAAGGGACCGGACTAATCAGAGATTCACTGCAGGGGAGATCATGGGAAATGTATTAGCATGCAGAATAGAGATATTTTATAGCTGAAGAGAGAACATTTGTTTGAAAGACATGCGTTGACAGATTTAGGAAATCAGCAATATATGAAGTCCACTGCTCAAAGAAAAAGAAAAAGAAAAAGCACTTAAATACAATTTAGACAACAGCAAGACTCAGTACTCAGTATTTCCATTTCTACCACTGACTGACCTGATTGGTTTAGAGTAAAGGCTGCTCTGTGACTGAGGAACCACCACAGCCTCCCTTATGGGTTCACTGTTGCAGTTCTCCGACTGGCCAAAGTCCGGCAGGTCAGATTCTGAACCGAAGTCCAGGGCTCCAAACTGCACATTTAGACCAGACACATCTGCTGAGCCAGGCATCTCTACAGCAGACGCGGGAATCTGGATGTGTGCAAATACACGCATATAAAAGCAGGCAGCATATACTGACAAAACATCAATGGAAACAATAAAAGCTCATTTTTGTAACAATTACAGGGTTTACACACCATCATTCCAAAGTTGGGGTCAGTATGTTTTTTTTTTAAATTAAAGATGATTTCAAGATTTTGTGCTAATGACTTCAATTAATATTAATGTAAGCAAGAAACATAACAACATAATGAGAACAAAATATAAATGGACTCCAGAGCAATTCATCCATGCATTTTCCTCAAAAAACATAACAAAAAACTTTGTAACATGTTCTCTCCACTATTCTGGTAACACCCACTTTTCACAACTCAAATTCCAGATGGATAAAATCAAGCCCCACCCTTACACACTTTTTGGTTGAAAGCTGAACCCAGAAATAAGCCAGATTATGTAAGCAAAATGGGTTGCGAAGGCCATTTCATGTATGTTTATCTACAAACTGTAGTTGGTAATAGAGAGTTCATGAATAGATCTTACAAAGCATTCCACCTCAATGCTTTTTTAATCTCTAGTCACCTTGGAAGTGGGAGGTATCCGTCGCTTTTGAGTCTTTATCTGCCGCTGATGCGTGCTGCTGCCCTGAGATTCGGCTGTCTGTGAGGGGGCCATCGAGGGCCCATCACGGTGCTGAGAAGGTTCCGGTGCTTTCGGAAAGGCTTCCAGTATGCCCGGGGCGTGTGAAGGGGCGCTCAGGGGGGGAGGGCTGAGTTGCCTGGCTAGAGGCCCCATGTGAGTCAGGGAGCCCTGCTGTCGCTGGGCGATTTGGCTTAGCACCAATGATGGCTCTGGCTGCATCTGAAACTCCCCTACAGTGCAAACAATTCAGAAAAGGCATATTCACATCAAGTAATGTTGGACTAAATTAACAAAAATGGATGCAGTGTGAAGAAGTTCATAGAAATTAACATAGTTAATGCATAGCCAAATGTTTGCAAGACTGAACGAGTTTGTGTTTCCGGGTCAGTAAAGCAATTGTAACACTCACGACTGAATTGGGAGGGGAGTGAAGTGGAACTCTGTGTTCCAGGAGGTTTGATGTCCCAGGAGGAGGAGGGGACAGACATCCCCGTCCCCACCAGCCCCCCTACAGGGGTGCAGTTGGTCCCTGTGCTGGAGGGCTGGGAGGTAAGCTGCCCAAGACCAGGCCCCTTCAGCTGTTCCAGTATTTGCTGCCCGGCCGTCTGCCCGAGTTTTGGACCACCCAGCTCTCCAAAACCAGAACCCAAAACAGAGGACTGGAAAAAGACACAAAGGACAGGTGCCATCAGGAAACCCATTCAGATCTCACTAAGCCAGCTCTAGTGCTTTTGAACAATATACCACAATACACCTAGTCTTAAAATAACTAACTAGAAAGTAAAAGAGATAAAAATTATTTAAGTTGTAGAATATGTGATTGAAGCACCTTTAACATAGGTACACCAGTTACTGCCGTTCATCCTCTAGGAAAACAGTTTTCTAAATGCTATAAATCAGGCCTGTGGATTGTCTCACCAGTGTGGCGTGTGTGTAGCTGTTGGAACCAGCAGAAGATCCTCCGTTGCGAGCAGGCTGGTGGTGGGAGTTTGTAAAGACCAGACTGTGGCCAAGCCCCTGAGAGGAGCCCACGGCCTTAAGATCCACAGGCTGATCCACAGGCTTCTGCAGCAGAGTTGATAGGTCCAGACTACAACAAATTACACAAAATAGTCAGTGAAAAAAACCAAGCAATTTGCAATTGCTGTAATCGTCACAAGATTGGAATGAAATGAGAACGACAGTTCTGACTTTATTACCTTTGGCCAGGTGTGATGGGGTTCTCAGTTGGGGGTGCACAAGAGGAAGTGAACACTTTGGTCTCAGAGAGCTTTGAAGATTAAAAAGGGACAAATGAGTACTTTTATTTTTGTAGCACAAAAATTTGAAATATTAAATATGACTACAATATACAAATATGAGATGAGACATTATGAAAGAGATATTATAAAATTATATAAGCAATACATTAATATTATATAAAAATATCAATATATAACAATAATTATAAATAATATTTAAATGATTTTATACATTTCTAATGTAATAATTTTAATTTATATATTAAAATACTATATAAAATATTATGTTATTTAATTTTCTTAAAATATTTTAAAAAACATAATTGCCATACTTATATATTACAGAATTCTAAATATATAAGTATAATATATATGTTTTATATAACATACAAAGGATAAAAAGACATATTACAAAATACTTTAAAAATATTTAACATCACTATTGTCTACATGCTAACCTTTAACATTTCTGGACAACGCATATACCATGTCTTTTCGGGCTTATTAATTTCAAGCTCTGCAAATCCCATAATGCACAGGAGGTTAATTATAGAGCATGACTCACACTCATATCTTCACTCCAGTCTTCAGCTGCCCACTCGTCCAAAGTGTTCTGCCATGCCACTGAACAGAACATGTCAAAGAGACAAAGAGAGATGAGAGTGGGCCTAAAGACTGGAAAATATGTTCTGTGCAATAGAGGTCTCTTACCTGTCCCATCTGTAGTGTCGTTGGCCCCCGTCTCCCAGACATCAGCATGTGAATTTGACGTCCTTCTGTCTGTGGTGTAGTCTGCAGGGTTAAAGGTCCTGCAGGAGGATACACAGAGAGTGAGACAGGGTCTCGGGTGGCTGCTGTATGATAATGAATATTATTCGAGGTTAAAATATCATCATTCGTGACAGTCACCCCATCCCCTGTGCTGTAAACCTGCTGGTAACTGGAGCCCGACCTCTGCCTCTACCTCCAGACACTGTGAAAACAACAACAACTCATAAACACTTGGGGATGAGTCAGAATGGTCAAACATCCTAAATGTCCAACAGCTAGATATTTAAATTCCACTTCAAAAATGGGCATGCAACTTCTCACAGAAGGTTCTAATGCGCTGCTGACAGTCTACAGCTGCTATAACTGTCAGGCCATTAGGGGGTAAAACCCACTCTGTGAAATTCATCCCCTTTAAAGCACCACTGCTACAGACATCAAAGCACCACTTTCAATATTTCAAATCACCTGCTATGAGTAATCTGGTGGACATGTGTCTAATCCTTCCCTAATACAGAAAACCCTGCTAATCGGTTTTGTAAATGTAGTTATGCACATTCTTAATAAGCACAACTGATGCAAATGACAGAGTAGGAGATGTTTACACTGTGTGTGTGAGCTCACCTCTCCCTCTTCCCCTGCGGCCACGGTCAGCACCTCTCTCAACAGCAGCAGGGTCCACGCCATTCTCCTCAGTCCTCGCTATATAGATAATAAAGTAACATCACAGATAAGCCTTTTAGAATTTAAACCCTACTCACACAAAATCAAATGGAAAAATTATTGTTTAAATATTGCTACTGAATACAAACAAAACAGCTATGTAAACACAAGGAAATCTCATCAAAACACTCACCTGGCCGGTTGCGACTGGTCCCTCTGCCACGACGGCTCGCTCCTCCACGACCCTTGCTGCTTTCCCTCTCTTTCTTCTCCCTGTTCTCCTTGTTTTCCTTACTCTCCGTGGAGGTGGCATCCTTTCCAAGACTTTTCTTTTTTCCAACTGTTTCCCAACTGGTCTGCAAGATGATGGAGAGATGAATTAGCAGCAGTCAGAACATACAAAAAACTAAAAGAAGATAATCGTACAGCAGGTGTCAAGTATCAATGCAGTGTCATTTTACATAACTGATTTTAAAAAAAAAGGGTTGCTAATCATTACTGTAGAATCATTATTGCTGATGAAGGACATTTAGGAGCTTGTATTATGACACATAGTGGAGGCAGAGGTCTATATTGCATTATACATTTAATTATAGTCATCGTCACATGACCAGCATTTTCGTCTCGTCTCGTCTTCGTCACGTGATAAAGGTCCATTGACGACGATATTTAGTCATAAATTTCGTTGACGAAAGCAACACTAGTTATGACACAGGATTACCTTCTAAACAACACTACAGAAGCGACCCACTTTCTATTTTAGAGTTTCATTCCCAGAAATCATTCAAACAAATCCTAGTCTATAAGCAGAGGCCTCTCAAATTTCACCACAACAATAGTCACCGATGCTTCATTTGTGAAGTACATTAACATCAATCACACATGAATCTGGATATTAAGCACTGTGGTATGTTCATCATTAAGCTAAAAAAATAAACAAAAAACATGCAGAAAAATACAAATCCCAGCTAGACAAATTGTTCTGCCTTTACAGGCCTGCCACAAAACAGCTGACAGTAGCGACGTTTTCAGTAAAACCAGTTCTCATTTTTTTTTTTAAATCTCATCATGAGTTTTAGTGCCTACTAAGTAGACTAGTCACATGTGCATTAGGGATGTGTGATAATGACAAAAAAAATATCTCGATATTTTCTGGAATTTTGTCGATAACAATAATTAGATGATATTTTGCTGAGCATGTTATTGTGCTGGTACTTTAACAGGTTTAGGACTGCTGTGGACAGCTGACTCCCAAAGCTTTTGATATTCTTCATATTCTGTGAGATGGTTAGTTTGCAGGAGTAATAGTTTAAATTGATTTTACATTTAATCAATAAATTCAAATAGTAAGACACTACAGGGCTGTTACCAAATAAAATCAGTATCAACAAAATTTGTGTTTGCAATGCAGAGGTGGCACAGAATCTGCATTTGAAGTGGCATTTAGATGCTTTTACACAGACTGTTTAATGCAGGACATGAATGCAATTAACCTGCAGTTACAAATACAAAAAAAATGTTGAATTCTGATATTTAAAATGATTGTGGGGGAGAGAGAAGGGAAATATACTATAAATATAAACCTAAAATCGCCAGTAGGTGGCGCAAATCACCGCATCAGTGAGTCATTGAGTCATTCATTCAACAGATTTGTTCAAACAACTGAGTGATTCAGTAACGAAACACCTCATACCTTGCTCAGAGGCTTTGTTTCAAACTATTTTCGTTGTCAAAATACAGCAAAAACAAAAATAAAATAGTGTCTAAAATGTGTCTAAAATGTAAGTCACAATATTAACTTGTTTATTGAACATCACATTTTCAATCATGCTGATATTTGGAGAAAATCCTCACTCTTTGTGTGATATTAACTACATCAGATTATATAAATATAAGACATATAAAAGTCATAAAAGCCATTTTTGCCACCTTACCTTGAATTTTGGGGAAATTCTAAAAGTATTTTAATAGACTAAATCATGCAGTGAAAATGTGAACTCTAAATGCACACAGTAGTCTCTAACATATATCAGGTAGTGTATGCGTGCACTCTCTGGGTGTGTTTTTGTTTGGTTTTTGCGATATACTCTATAATGTCAAATCGCATATCGTTTAAACAACAATTACGATATCATCATAGACGATATATATCGCACACCCCTAATGTGCATCTGTTGGATGGGATTCTTACCGCATCAGAAGTTCCCTCAAGCAGGAAGTTGATGGCTCTGTTGACATCCTCGTTGCAGTCATGAAGAGCAACCATGCAATCGTCTTGGTTCTTCCCTGTAACCTCCATGAGCTGTGAGCAAATATGGACATCATTAGGGTTTAACAGAGGAGTTAAAACATCATTTTACTCTGAATGAAAAGAGCTTCTCATAGGCCTACCTGTTTCACTTTATCCTCAAAATCTGCATCGTTCTTGTCATAGATCATCTGGGCCAGTCGGATCTGTTCGGCTGTAGCCTGTAATTGGAATAAGAATAAGTTATGAACATCAGAATGAGTGACCAAGAATCAATATTAAAAAACAAAAGGCAATTGTTTGAGCAGTCAGATTCATGGCCAAGACATATCACACACAAGTGGAAGCAGACATGGTCCACTGCGAGTGTGTTTGGCAATAAGCCTACTTCACAATACTGTATACTAGGGCTGTGCGATATGGACAAAAAAAACCTATCGCGATTTCTTTGATCAATTTTGTGATTTCGATTTTAATCACGATTTTGACACACACAGACATGCTTTACAGTCATTAATGCATTCAGTGTGAATTTGAAACCGAATATTTCTAAAAGAAAACCAATTAGAGCTTTATCAAAAAGCTGTAACATGTCTCTAGAACAGACATAAGGCAAAATAATCACTAAGTAAAGGTGTAACAAAATGTCTCTAGAATAGACATGGCAGGGGTGAAAAAAAAATCCCGTGTCCAGGGATTTTTTTTGCCATGCATTGGTCATAGAGCTCTTTGTGGCGTTGCCTCAGATGTTGAACTAGATTTGTTGCGCCAAGTTCACACGTACTCCGTCTGCAGTGCATATACAGTATGTGTATGCGGTGCAGAAGCAGCACGGACTCATTTTGCTTTCGCACAGGATGCGTTTGCAGTCCGCTCCTGATCCGCGGCTGTTTACCACAAACACAACATTTATCCATTATTTTGATTTCAAATCCAAACGTTGTTTCTGAAAATGCTTTTTCAGCATTGTGATTCTCTTTTATCACAGTACAGTAATACAATCTTTCATAGACATATTCACGTTTAAACTCACTTAATATAGCTTTGTTTAACTACCACGAGTGCCATCTATTATTGCCTTGTTTATCTAAAAGTGCACTTTTCCTTGTTTTAAATCTAGCCAAAAAGCCATGTGTTGACTGTGAAACAGTAGACTTTAATTATATGCATTTATGGTGTAATTACTAAATTTCCGTGTCAATCCATGTTAATTTTTACCGCGAATAATGCGCTGCCACTTTAATTCAGCGCGTGCAGCACAGCAGAAATAGATTCTGTGCGGAAACGATCGCAGCATGACTGCTGCAGACGCACCGTTCCTGGAGCGCACTGCCGGACCACAATCGGGCGGAAAATCGTGCTATAAAGCGATTTAGAAATCGCGCAAGCTCAAATCGCCATTTTATGACGATTTCGATTAATTGCACAGCCCTACTGTATACTGCCTTCCACTTTGTTAAACATAAAAGTATGCATTATGCAACAATAAATGTCTTTAAATACTTTGTCACAAGACCTAATTACTTTGTATGTTTTATTCAGCAAAGAGTCCAGTTATTACCTCTGAAATTAAAATGTAGGATTTCATGTAGAAAAATGTAGACCATTAATGTAATAAGATAAATTACTTGTTATTAATAAGTTTGTGAAACTTGTTAAATTTTGGTAGTGTAATCAAATAGTAACTTACTAAGCAGTTAGTGAAGATGACTAGTCTAGAGTACTACTATCTAGATTTTCATACATGCCTGCAGTTTTTATTTTAGTGGCTTTTTAATTTGAGCACTGGCAGCATGTTCTCTTGGAGAAGCTGTGTTAAATTCTTCTTCTTTAAAGCCAAACACATTCACCTCTCTCTGTTTTTGAGCATCCCATCACAACCATTGCGTTACAGGGATAGCCAGTCCAATAATGAAACCTGTCATAATTTACTCCCTCTCATGCCATTCCAAACCTGCATGAAAGTTTTGAATATCACTGACTTGCATAGTATGGACAAAAAAAAAAAAAAACTATGGAAGTCAATGGGGCCCGGAACTGTTTGGTTAGCAACATTCTTTTCTGTTCCAAAATGCATACAGGTTTGGAATGGCATGAGGGGGAGTAAGGTGGACTATTCCTTTAAAGATGTCACTTTATAAACAGATCAACTTAAAAGTGAGGCTTAACAGCAATCTGCTCTGTCTACCTGTTTTTAATGCAAGAGTGTCTTATGTAAACTCCCCCTAAGGAAAATGGAAGGTCAAGTCAAGCATATTCTGGGATACAGTACCCAGCAGATTATGGTCATACTGTGCACTGCAGAAATAATTTCGTTGCATGTTATTCCTAACATGGCGTATGTTTCCATATGTTGTCGTTTACTCACCTGAAGATGTTTCTGTGGTTGTGTGGTCTGTGTGGTAGTGGGCAGTGCTTTGTCTCGAGTGCCCCGGGCTCGTTCGACGCCCACCGAGGTCATCATATACAGTATATACAAAACAATGTATGTACAAAACAGAAAAATCTGGAAGAAAAACAAGGCCAAAAACAGGAAGTGGTTATTATTCAGAAACAGCTTTCATGTCCTAGTTTCTAGTCCAAATATTTGCAGACACCAGACGAGTTTTGTTCAAGCAAGCTAGCGGACGTTTTCTGCAGATCTTCCCTTCAGTGTCCCGCGCAGCGTCAGGCAAACACACAAGGGCCGTATAGGATTTCCTTTCTCCTAAACCCAGTTGGGCAAGATTGAGCAATACTCTGACCGCCAGAAACCCTTGTAGAAAAAACAATCAAGCTTATCCGAGCCCTGCTGAAATGAAGACTACGCTACGAGACCACACTGGTGTCCGCTAACACTTCACAACTAGCCTGTAGTGTGCTTCTAAAATGCTCACACTCAAATCACATCGTCATTCCTCATGCATACCAAATTACAACTTAGTCCTCAAAACAGAAGAACATCGAGGAATGTTTATTACTTAACATACTTGAATCTACATTGAAGCATGTATTGATGATCAAAACATCTCACACATTTCGCTCTTCAATGTTTACATAAAAAAATTTCTGTTTAAGGTGACAGACTCTTTTAGTCATGCTGGTAAGTGACCTTTTTTATTACCCACGAAAAGCACATTTACACAACAACTTCAGATGTTGAAACAAGGAAATATTAAAGGGATAGTTCACCTTAAAATTAATATTCTGTCATCAATGACTCAAGTCATTTCAAAACCTGCATGTTTTTCCATTTTTTATTCTTTTCTTTGTAATCACGCCATATTACCTGCCCAGTTAGAAAAAAGCAAAGTAGTCCATATGATTCATGCTCTATATTCCAGATCTTTTGAAGTCATACAATAGCTCTGTTTAGGGCTGCACAATTAATCAAATTTCTAATCACGATTACAATTACAGATGCCATCATGCCACAATTACGTAATCATTCAAAGCGCACTTATGTTATTCTGCATGCTTAAGATGTGTTTATTTCTTTCTACAGGTTGTCTTAAAGGCTTTTCCATTGTTTTAATTTTAGTATAACATTATAGTACCATGCATATTTTTGCTTTTTTTTTTTAAAGAAGAAAACAATCCAATGTATAGTTCACATTTGAGGCTTAATACTATAGAAAAGCAATAAAAGTTTTTCAGTTAAGTGTTTTCAACTTGTTTATTTTCATCTAAAAATATGGCATGCAGTTGCTTCAAACAATGATACGGCCTAAACATCATTCTATGTAAATTGTGATCATCGTAATTAATAATCGCAATTACAATTTCAAGGGAATAATCAACAATTATGATATTTGTCATAATCGTGCAGCCCTAGCTCTGTGTGAGTAAAAGGCTAATATTTACTATCAAATACAGGGCTCAACGCTAAAGATTATTTCTATTTGGCCAGTGGTTCAGATTTTTCTTGCCTTACAAAATATCCACTTGCCTCAAACCCTAAATAAATAAATAAAATTGATACTTCGACCCATGCAACCTTGTATTCTAATAAATACGGTTGTCATGACACTAAACTTTTAGATACCTATGAATTTTCACAATTTCTCAATTTGATACCCCTGCAGAAACTACTAGCTTAACTATTATAAAACACTATTTAATAAAACATTTATTAAATTAAAGGGATAGTTCACCCATACTCACCATCAAGCCATCCTAGGTGTATATGGCTTTCATCTTTCAGACGAATACAATCAGAGTTATATAGAAAAATGTCCTGACTCTTCCAAGCTTTTCACCTAGGATGGCTTGAGGGTGAGTAAATCATGGGGTTAGTTTCCATTTTTGGGTGAACTATCCCTTTAAGTAAACAGCGAGTAAAATAAAAACATCAGACAGTTCTTATTTTTGAGCCCTGAAATCTCATTTCCATACATTGAAAAGTGCAAGGTTTGACATTAATGATGCCAAACACCAATATTTCTCACGTTCGGTAACCAACAGGGGCGTAAAAATAAACTGTCACAATATAATTGCAAAACAAAAATGCAACAATATGCATTATGTATAGGATGATATGTATTGTGTATATTTCACCAAAATGAAAGTTTAGATATAATTTAGCATCAAATACGATAAACCCAGAAGGTCACACATTGGAGCTTTCATATTTAATAATTATTATTAATTAATTAAATAAATAAAAATGACATTATTTAATACAATGCAAGCATATGTATCAAACATAATTCTGCCATTTTTAGCTTGAGAGTTATGAATATTTTTAATCTGATGTCACCATTGCCCTGTACATAGGGAACCAGGACCAAGGCCAAGCTTATTAAAGTCCATTCCTGATGTAGACCTAATATCAAATTTATTTTAATGAACAGTATTTTTTGTTGACTGTTTGTCCTATGTGTCAAAAGTACTAATTTAAAAAACATTTCACTTCTATTTTGACTTTGTTCAAAGTATTGGGAGCATATCATAATCATGAGATCAATATTGTGTTTCAAAACGAATCGAACACCCCAAGACACCAACTGGGTTTAAACAACATAAAAATAGAGTGGGGGAACTATGACGGCAGAATCCTGAACTGTAATTTGCCGCGGGTTCCTTCGAGATTTTCCTATGGGGTTTTTCAATTTATGAGTAAAATAAAGCCTGTGGTAAACATCCCTTGGCGATACTTTTATGTTTTGTTTTACAATGTAAACTGCACACACTCAGTCACAGCCCAAACGTTCTTATCCAGTTACTTATTAAAAACATACGTTTTAAAAAATGAACATACCTGCTTCAATATGTGTGTTTTGGGTATGGATGCGTGTAATTTACGTTGTAGAACAAAATGTAAAAGTATTGTCAAGTTATGTTTACCACAGGCTTTATTTTACTCATTAATTGAAAAAAAACATTATAAAACCTCATAGGAAAATCTCAAAGGAACCCGCGGCGAATTACTCTTCCGGATTCTGACGTCATAGTTCCCCCACTCTATAATTTAACATTTGGTCTGTTTCTCACACAAAGCAATCATATGGGTTTGAAAGATTTGTAACTTGGGGGATGAGTGATATGGACTGTTTTTATGATACTTTTAAGGTAATTTTGGAGCTGGACAGCCGCTTACCTATTCACGTACATTGTAAGGAAAAGTGCAGATGTCTGCTTCTGTATTCCAAAAAAATTTGGGGAATACAGGGGGGTTTAAAGTCCTTTAAAAACCTTCTTCGATGATTTTCCACCAAATTAAAACTTGTGAACAAACTAATGTACTATAGTGTCACATCCATGAAACTAAGACTAAAACATCAGCAAGTGTTACATGCTCACACAGAAGACAAGGCAACACACATAACATCTGTGATGGATACAGTAGGCTTTTCTTGGCTGTTAAAAGAGATCGCATTGTGCACGTTTAACCCTTCCACACAGTCACACAGCAAAAGCCCGACTAGATTCTAACGTATGGAGATCATCAGATAATATCTGCCAAAAATGTCCAGTTTGCAATATACATCAAAAAGATCTCACTGGGACGAGTCTAGCTGTGCAAGCGCTGCTGGTCACAAACCATTTAATGATGACAGTAAGCAAAACAACCCACGAAAGTGATTCTGCCAGCTGACAATGGTCTCATGTGGGGACTTTTCTGAGATCCTTACCAAATGGAAAAACAAAGCCTTTTCTCTTGGTCAGCAGACCACCCACAGTGTCCTCGAATTTACAGACAATAAAGCACATTTAAAGATGTGGACTGAGAAATACACCAAAAAAATAAAAATTACAATGAGTTTTATCGATTATGAAAAAGGAGCTCAATGGACTAAGCAGAGCACAACCAAAACACATATGATTGTGAAGATTAAATAATTTACATGAAACAATTTAATGAAAATTAGATGCAAATAATTACTGAAATTAAATGAACATTTATTTGACAACATTTACCAAAAATACACCACAATGTATGAAAACAGAAAATGTGTATTATGAAATGTGCATTATTTTTACATAAGCAAATGACCACTTCTCAATTGAATATAAACACTGGTCAATGTGAATAATCTCAAAAAGGTCAAATAATTGGTTTATTACTAAAAAAAAGTTTTGTATAAAATGTATAAAAATGAAGAACTACTGCAAAAGATTAATAAACAATCACCTTCATAATCAAAACATATGTGATGGCTCAATCACCTTAGAAAACTTTAAATAAATGACCATAATCAAAGCATATGCACAAATGACTATGCTTGCCTCACGAGTTTCTTTAAATATGTTTTATATCCTAAAAAACAAGCTACATTCATACACATAACAAAATTAAACAAAATATATATGATGGCTCAAACAAAAGGAATTTAGTTCCAAGACCAGGGTCAGCATCCTAGTTTATCTTTATAGATTCATTAGAGATGCTTGGAAACATTCAAGTTGCAAATAGTGTTTTTAAACCCTATGAATGTGTAAAAACAGAGTTTGTGAAGAGCATAAGCGCATAGTCTCTGCTCTCCTTTGTCCATGATCTCTAATGTCATTTCCTCTCTCCAATTGTTGTAGCTTAGCTGGCTAACTCACGACCGCCCGGCGTCCTTGTTCATAACATGTTAATCCTCAAGAGCATTTAAACACCAAGGTGTATCAATATGACCTTTTTAATGGACGAAAAACTGGTTTAATAGTGATGCGGGTTGTAAAGGGATGTTTGAGGAAAACGGTCTCACAGCAGAGCTAAAGACGAATAAGCTAAACTGAGGCTAAACAAAGCCATAGAAAAGACAACATCACCTCGAAAAACATTCAGCGACGGATTAAAACAGATGAAAGACAAAGAAATGGAAACGTTAATAACGTAACGCTTGATTTATAAAGACCAGTTAGAGTCTGAAAGAGATTTGTTATTTTTTATTACCTGCTAACACGCTTCACTCAGCCAGCAGCAGATTCCGTCACGTGACCGTCACCGCGCCGCCGCCGCTTCTCTCCATGCAGATCATACAGGCGCGCTCCCGCACCAGCAAGCACATTCACAAGCGCGCGCGCACGTACACAGTAAGTCATACAAAAAAACATAATTTCGCAACATAAAATAAATCAAAATGCAATTAATAAATTGTGTAAAGTCTTAAAGGGAAATGTTGTCATAATTTACTCATTCAGCTATCACTACTCCTTTTCTGTTTAAAATATTTTCATGCTTCTTGACTTTAAATGAAAAGTTGGCCGTCTCTAAACATACGTTAAATGAGGATTTATTGTAATGAGTATGCATTATTGCTCCCTACAGATGATACACATGAACGCCCATTCTGTAACGCCTGTTAATAATCATAACACGATGTGCGCCTCCAGCGGTCAAATGAATCACTACAGAGCAGTGGAACGTCAACTTTTTTTTTCTCACTTAGTGAACTGTCACATTTCTATGGAACACCGTTTCTATGGAAGCCCGTTTCCAATTCTGACTTTATATCTCGCAATTCTGACTTTATAACCCCCAATTGTGAGTTTATATCACGCAATTCTGAGAAAAAAAGCCAGAATTCTGACTTTATATCTCGCAATTCTGACTTTATAACTCGCAATTGCGAGTTTATATCTCATAATTCTGACTTTTTTTTCACGCAATTGCGAGTTATAAAGTCAGAATTGCGAGTTATAAAGTCAGAATTCTGGCTTTTTTCTCAGAATTGCGTGATATAAACTCACAATTGGGGGTTATAAAGTCAGAATTGCGAGATATAAAGTCAGAATTTAGAGATTAAAAACTCGCAATTCTGACTTTTTTTCTCAGAATTATGAGATTTAAACTCGCAATTGCAAGTTATAAAGTCAGAATTGCGAGATATAAAGTCAGAATTCTGGCTTTTTTTCTCAGAATTGCGAGATATAAACTCGCAATTGCGAGTTATAAAGTCAGAATTGCGTGATATAAAGTCGCAATTGCGAGTTAAAGTCCAATTTTGAGGGTGGAAAAAAGACTGTTATGTTCTCAGAATTGCGAGTTTATATCTCACAATTCTTAGAAAAAAAGTCAGAATTGTGAGTTTATATCTCGCAGTTCTGACTTTATTTCTCAGAATTGCGAGTTTATATCTCTCAATTATGACTTTTTAACTCGCAATTGCGAGTTTATATCACGCAATTCTGAGAAAAAAAAAGTCATAATTGCGAGTTTGTATCACGCAATTCTGAGAAAAGGTCGCAATTACCTCTTTTATTTTTTATTCAGTGGCGGAAACGGGCTTCAATACATTTCATCATATAATGTTAAAAATCGATTAGAAATTCAAATGAAAAGCTTTAAAAGTCAGCAGAAGTATCGAGTATAAAGAAAGTCAGGATGCAAAGCCAGAATGGAAGAAAAATACATCAATAAACTTTTATTCTTTTTCTTTTTGAAGAATGTCTTTTGTTTTGTTTTGATACTGTACAATATCTTTACACTTGTAATCTGTAAAAACATTCAGGAAGGGAGTATAAAAAAGGGCACCACCAAAATAATGACAGATTAGTTCACTCACACACACGCACATATATCCTGACATTTACATAAATTGTATTCTCCCTCTATTAGATTCCAAATATGTATACATATACATTTATATATATAAAATAAATTTTAAAAGTGATGGTTAATTTCTGCTTAATATATGCCTGTTACTGTGTTCATTGTACTAGCAATTTTGTGACAATTCCATGAAGCTTATGTGTAAAAAACGAAAAGAAAAAGCCTAAACAAATTCAATCTGCAACAGTCTTTCACAGAAAGACTCTGAAAAGGCAACAATGTCACACAACAATGCCTGCCTTTAAGCAGAGAAGATGATGAGAAGCAAAAATCCTAACAAATATGATTGTACCTGAACGTCATGAGTGCTAGTGACGGCAACAATACAAAATAAATAAGACGTCTAAATGTCACAGAGGGAAAATTGCAATCTTGATGTGAGTGTATGCGTGTGTTAATACAGATTTAGCAATAAAAAGAGGCGTTCTCCAAGATACCTCAAACAGAACACAAACGGTATCTGTGATTTCTTACAACTGTCTCTCCCTGCCATTATTTTGGAAAACATAACGGGAAAAAGAAAAACAGCGGGTGAGTCTTCATTGACCGCTATCTGACTCATGTCCATGTTTACTCCGTGCTCTTCATATAACTACAGTCTCGACCCCAATGTCCAGAGTGAGGTTACAGATCAGGCTGTCCGTTAATTTCACCAAGATTCAACTTTAAATGTCTATTCTCAGCTTTTTCAGGATCTACAATGTCATATCAGTCCACTGTGAGCCAAGAAAAGGAGCTGATCGGCAGGTCTTTGAAAAACACACAGCAAAACAAACTCAAAACGGCATGTCTTAAAAAAGAAAAAAAGAAAAAAAGGGAAAAAAAAACTGCAAATAAAAAAAAAATATATATAAACGTAATGCCCAGATAGACTGTTACATATTTTCATATATTTTTACACTATTCCACAGTTCTCAAAGGTTCAGGCAGCTGATGCACAGATGATAAAACCTCTTTCATCCTTTCCGGACTCAAATGAACTCTTCCAGGAGATTTTTCTTTTTCTTTGCTGTTTTTTCCCCACACAAAAAAAAAGACAGACGTGAATTCAGGAGTACAACAGGCAAACGAAAATTGAAAGACATAAGAACAAGCACAAAAACAGTATCTATGCTCCTAAGTCCTTTGAGAAATAGAGGAAAATCTTGGATAGAAGCTAAACCGGAAGTGAAAATGAATGGGAAGAAAAACGGAAGATGGCCTTTAAGCACATGGTACGTGAGAGCGAAATGGAGGGATGACGGAGGCTAGCTCCAGAGGCCGGCATAGTTTCCATGTAGGCCAGAACACAAGGGCCCGCCGGCCACAAAGAGTTTGGTGCCGGAGTCGTCGTAGCAGTGTGTGTACACGGCGTTCGGGAAGGAGCGAACGTCGGAAAAGTAGCTTCTCCACGTGTCATCGTGATTCTGTGGGAGAAATGCAAATAGAGAACCTGACTGATAGGGATTTTGTGCATTCATTTCAGCCTCAATCAAAATATACATACACTACAGTTCAAACATTCTTGAAAGTAGCCTCTTATGCTCACAGAGGCTACATTTATTTAATCAAAAATACAGTAAAAACTGTTTGTGAAGTACACGGCGTTCGGGAAGGAGCGAACGTCGGAAAAGTAGCTTCTCCACGTGTCATCGTGATTCTGTGGGAGAAATGCAAATAGAGAACCTGACTGATAGGGATTTTGTGCATTCATTTCAGCCTCAATCAAAATATACATACACTACAGTTCAAACATTCTTGAAAGTAGCCTCTTATGCTCACAGAGGCTACATTTATTTAATCAAAAATACAGTAAAAACTGTAATATTGTGAAATATTATTGCAATTTAAAATAACTTTTTCTAGTATAAAATATTTTAAATGGAATTTATTCCTGTGGTGGCTAAAGCTGAATTATCAGCAACATTATTTCAGTCTTCAGTGTCACATGATCCTTTAGAAATCATTCTAATATGCTGAATTGGTGGAAACATTTCTAATTATCAATGTTGAAAACAGTTGTCCTGCGTAATGTTTTTGCAGAAAATGTGATAAATGTATTTTTACAGGATTCATTGAATAGAAAGTTCAAAAGAGCAGCATTTATTTAAAATGGAAATCTTTACTGTCACTTTTGATCAAATTAATACATCCTTTCTGAACATTTTTTTAATAATCTTATTGACTAGTCTTGCCGCGATAGACTGTGCTGATGGTGATACCGGTGTTAAGCCGCAACACCGGTTACGTCACTTGCCCACCGCGTCACCGACCCCCACCGTCGTTTTGATTTTTTATAGTAATAAAAATCATTTAGTGAAAGCGAGGAAAAGAGGAAAAATTCAAACGAACTAAAAACGAACAATTGCTTTACTCCGAATTGCGCTATTTGAAAGTGAAAGTAAAATGCGCACACCGCTTTTACAAGCTATTTAAAGTGAAGGAAAGCGAGGAAAAGAGGGAACGCCCCTGCCCCCGTGGTGATACGTCGATTAACCAGTGGGAAAATTTCCTCACCGTCACAACCCTATTACTGCCCCCAAAAGTTCGAACAGTAGTCTATAATATGTATATAATGTGTAATAAGCAGGATAATGTACAGTCGGCTGGTCATTATCACAAAATAGCCTTAGACAGGAAAATTAAAACCCCAATGTGCAGAGTTGTTGTTCAGTTTGCGATAATGACCAGGCTGACTGTACATTATCCCTTACATAGTTAAATTCTTCAAAGCTGTAACAAAAGGGCAGCAACCTAAGTGGGTCAATTAAGCCAATCAAATAGTAGTTATACTTCCGTGTGGACTCCTGATTAATGCAGCAGACAGCATTTCTGCTTAATGAACTTCCATATGGTAAGTAGAGACTGATGCTGCAGGCAACCAACTTCAAGAGTAAGCACTTTGTAAAGGAGCTTATATATAGACTAATTCATTCAAAAGCCTGTCCAAAGATTTCATGGCAAAAACCAGGTAGGGGGTATATACAGCAAAAGAAAAAATAGTAATATTACATATAAATCAAATGAGCAAGTTTCTTTAAAAAAAAAAAAACTAATTTAAAAACAGTAATTGTTTGAGTATCAGATTTAGTTTAAAACAGAATTATACCACTGTTCAACAGTTTGGGGTTAGTAAGACTTTTTTCAAGAAATTAATACTTTTATTCTGCAATGATGCATTCATTTGATTAAAAGTGACAGAAAATACATTTATAATGTTAAAAAATATTTCACAATTGTTTTCAATATTGATTATATTAAATGTTTCTTCAGCACCAAGTCAAATATAACATACATATTAGGGGTGGGAGAAAAAATTCTGGATCGATTCTGAGAATTTCATAATCGATTCTGAGCTTAGTTTTTAACCAGATGCGCGATGACGCTGAGTTTGCTTTAGAAACACCCGTATTCTGCTTGCTTCCAATTCCTCACACACATACACCACTCTAACCTT